CAATACCCTCCTGTGGTTGAGATATGTTGCAATCCCTTGCTGGCTTTGCTAGATATGGGAGTAGTAGCTTGGAGTAGCGGGAAATGTAACGGTCTCTTGTGCGGTTTGTTGCCCTCAGAGGACGCGATCTCGTTGCAACACCCTATCTTGCAGGCTTTAGAGGTGTGACTGAGAGTGAGTGGAAAACGAGGTTTGCCGTAGGACCGGTGACTGAAGGCCAGTGTAAATCGGAGTTTGATGTGCAGTGAGAATTGCCGTAGATTGTGCTCAGCGTGTGTTTGAGAGTGATACGAACGACCCGTGGAAATCGACGTGTGATCGGCGGTGAGAATTACCGTAGATTGTCCTCAGCGAAGGTGGATCTTCGGAGATCGGATTTTCGAGGGGGAGATTTCGTAGACCGGTAGCAGCGGCAGTTGTACACAGCAGTTTCACACTTTGTTGGTACTCTGTTTGCGTTTCTGGTCTTGTTGCCAAGAAGAAAGTGTACAGACGACGCGAACAGAGAAAGAGCCTGGCGACGGAAGGGGAAGTTGCCCGTTGCGAGTACTCCTGTAGTCCGTGGCCCTCGTTGAGATGGCGGACGCTACGAAGGTGGGTGCTCTATATTGATTGTTGTTTCGGCAAGCTGACCCACCCGCTTTGTTGGGCTCAATTGGGGTGTCGCTCTCTCCGGGCAGCAGAGTTCGGGACTACAGCAGTAGGACTGTATCATGTATTCTATCTCCAGAAAGGGTAAGGGTTGCTGTAGTAGGTTACTAGTGCAGAGAGGTTCCCTGAGCTGCCTACTTGTAGAGGCGGAGATCCACACCACCAAGAGTACACCACCAAGAGACGTAGATATTTATTTTACCGCTGCGAGACGCGAAAAATAGCCTGGAAGAATGATATCCGATTGCACACCCTGCGCAGCCTGCCAATATGTGCAGCAGTAGTACTACCGGCCTTGAACGACAACGAGACAGACAAGTTAGTTAGAGGTAGGCAATTCTTAACGAGAACGATCGGGAAGAAGGTTAAAGGTTTGCACCACGCCGTCAGATACATACGCCGTCGGATACGCCGTCGGATAAGTGAGTGACATCCCCACAGGCGAGGCCCGAGTACAAAGAATCGGTAGGCGTAGCTACTTCTCCGAGATATCCATAGAAACAGAAGTGCATCTCGACACGAGTTACAAGCTGGTTCGAGGATAAGGATACAAGAAAATTCATCAAGAAAACTTGACGCCGTTTTTGGAGTTGACTTTCAAGCGTTTTCAAGTGTACTTCAGTCCTTCCGCAAAATAAAAATGTCGCAAATTTGTTTGTCAGTCATTGGTCGAGGGGCTACAGTCCCTCCAAAGAATCTGAGCTCCTTGCCAGACAAAGGGCGACTTGGCTTCAGTGTGAAAAGTGTCCGGAAAACACGTGGGGGAAACGCTTCATACTGACGCCAAGACAGCAATTTTTTCCAGTACTTGTAGGACTCTACACAGTGAAGAGTGTATTTAGTACACACACGTCTCACCACGAAAAATGGGGGGACTGTCGCCATAATAAGTAGGACGAAAAAACACCACACGTTGGACAATACGATATGTATAGCTTTTTATGTACTGAAAATTCACATCAATTGATATCGTTTGGTTCAATATGTGAGGAACACATCGATCGATGATATGTATTGCTTGCATCACCATGTTTCGCCGATCGTGAGCAATACGTGTTAAATTTTCGATAGGCTCGAAATAAATCATGCCATATGTATTGCTCTTGCCTATGGTTCGAAGACATAGTTGCAATATGCGTTGATGTTCAACACGGTTTGGCAAACATCGCTCCGATATATATTGCTGCTACCGATGCGTTCGGTTTTATTATACCGATAGGGTATTGTTCGGCAATACGGCGCCGCGGAAATTCATACGTTCCGTTGAACACATATGTTTTATATCGATGAATTCAGTTGTGAACGTATTACGCGGACAATAGGTATCGGTCGCTACGGTTATCAACATATTGTTCCTCCAACATATATCGATCCAAGTCAGCAAAAAATGTTTTGTATCCCCGATAGTCCATTGACGGATAATACCGAAGTATGCCGATCGAAGCGATACGTATCGATAGACTTGTAGCTAACCTGTTGCGTGTGCAAAGAGGTAGTGTTTCCGTTGCTCTAAATCTGTTGTTGCTCACAAAACATATCGATGCACCTGGAATCAACATGTTTGTGACAGCAATAGGTATCGGTTACCGAAATTTCAACTCTATTGTGGGACCAATAATCAATTAATACATGTGAAGGGTGTAAGGGCACTCTGTCGGGCCCACGATAGGCTATTTTCCTCGTGTCCTAAACCTTCTGGCGCCTACAACATCTATGTATTGTGCTTGTGCAACAATCATTTCCCAACGCCTCTAGACTACTTGCCATACATACACTGGTGGCCAGAGGGGCAGGTTGGGCACGAGCTACAACCTGGGGGGGGAGGTTCGGAGGACGAGTTCGACCTTGAACCCATTTTTTCTTCAGGCTTGCAGCCCGTCGTGTTGATTGCAATAACGCCACTATCCAAGATGCGGGATATCTTGCACGCTTGGGCCCGTGTACACACACGATGAAATTCAGAATCGAACACATTGGGATCCGATATGCATACGAGATCATGATGTGTTTGTAACTCTGCCCCCCGGCGTTTCGAAGCATTGCACCGCCGCCATTGCACCACCAATAGATATCGATAGGACAAATCATACTCCGAGTATGTAATAGGCGTGCCCGTATCGATACGTTTGTCAGGGCCATCAATCGGGGACAGTGCAACGATACGTATCGGAGGAGCAATAGACAACCTGGTGTGTGTATCGATAGCTACTACCAAAGGCAATACATCGTTGTTACGTGTATCGATACATGTTGTTGTTTCCAACACGTTTTTCCGTCGATGTATTGCATCAAATCGCCCTGAACAGCACCCTTTCTGAACGTCGAACGATGTACATTGGCCCTTGTAATGCGTTGTGAAAGGACATGCTATTGTATATCGTAGCAAGCAGCAGGTCCACAAACTCTCAATCGATAGGTATTTCCCCGAACGATACATTGTGCAGACACTCGTCAATGCATGGTACGGCCACCAATACGTGACGTATTACGATAGGAACGTATCGATATCCATTGACTGTATTGTATATGGTCCAGGGTGTTTTCAAACACACACACACCAGGCGGTGAAGTACAGTGTACATACGACCTAGGAGGCACGCGGGTTGGGAGATGTGCCGCAAGTCAGGGGCCCAGGGAGAGGCATCACACAGCATATCACACAGCGTACCACCTCAGCCAAGCATGATAGACCAAGGGTTCTCACGTGCGTTGCTGCACACAGCATAGTCCAGCGATGTATCCCCAAAGTGTCCCCATTTGGGCTTCCAGTACTAGGAGTGTTCATACGAAACGCTGTGTGGAGGGGGGTGGTGGTAAACGAGACCTAGGAATCTCGCATTAAAAACGTGACCCAGGGGACGAAACACTGCCATCCCCGGGGTATCGTTTTTTTATCGAGACCCCCGGGAACATAACACAGCCATCCCCGGGGTTTCCACCCCAGAATTAGAGCTAGGCAGCAGGTTCGGGGCGCGGCGCACCCGGCATCCGCTTCGTGCGCTGTGTCTTGGAGCGTTGCGGACAGTCAGCTACATAGGTAGGGTGCAGGGAGCCTTTGATAGCAGCGTTGAACTGTGCCCGAGGCAAGGCCGTGCTGCCTGCTGCTCGGGGAGTCCCGCTGCATGGAAGATTCCGAGCGTCGATCATGCTAAGCAAGACAATGATTAAACACGGTTGGCCCGGCCGTAGCACCTCTCTCTCTCTCTCTCTCTCTCTCTCTCTCTCTCTCTCTCTCTCTCTCTCTCTCTCTCTCTCTCTCTCTCTCTCCCTCTCTCTCTGACGGCCAAACCAGCAGGCGATGTACAAGAAGAATATACAAAAATCCGAGCACAATTTGCGTTCTCGCTTCTCGGTTGATCGAGTCTACAATAGCGTCGTCTTGGAACTACGGCATGCAGCAGTTTCCTTCACAGCCCTGCAGCCTGTGCATGTATGTATGTGTGCACTCACGACGAAACAAGGAACGTAGGAGGAACGCAACCTCTCTGTTGTTGTACGTAATGTAGTCTTGTGTACATCTGCTTCTTTCATTATGTGATGCCATCGATCTCGGGTGGTGTGGTTGCGCCCACGGGGAACTCTATCTACCGTCGCTCCAAGGCGAAGCTCGTGGCAGCTTCACCTACCATGGCCTACGCCTACGGCATGCAGCAGTCTCTGCCACGGGCGTGAAGCTTGTGCGTGTGCAGTCACGAACGCAAACCTAATCCGCTCTGTCTGTCTGTGCGAACGGCAACAACCTGCCTATTATGTCCCGCTGTTTGTAATGCAGACACGACATAACGGAGGGATTCTCCCCGAGTTTTTCGTCGTTGACCCATTGCAGAACTACGGGGAGGGGGTGTATTGAAAACTGTTGGCTACCTACCCTGTATCTCTACAGGTGTTTTTTTGTGCTTAGCACCAGCTGGTATCACTGATGTAAATCATCAGTGTATAGGCTTAAAACAGACTCGAAATAAGTCCAGTACACAGCCGTTTTTACTCCACTCACTGTAAAGACTCCAACACATCCCCTTCGACTGTGGTGATATCTCGAATGGGGAGTCTTTCTGTGTGTGTATTTATTTTCCTAGTCAGCAGCTAGCTGCATGTGGATCTCGGGTGTGTAGTTGCGCCCACAGGTACCGCTACCGTCGCTCCAAACATCCACCACCATTCATTCTATGTATATCGAGAGGTTTGTCCCTCTCGTGCCCGTATGGGCTCTGAAACGTACGTACATTTCCATTTATAGAAAGGGATGACTCTCATGACAGCTGAGATAATTCGTTATTTTTTGATACGTTGCTGGCTACTGCCGTTGTCCTTACAAGGTTGCTGCTCTTAGGGCTTGCAAGGCGGAGGTGATGAAAATGTGCGCGGCCGACGACGACAACCCCATCCTGATCCGGCTCGCGTGGCACGACGCCGGTAAGATCGAGACAAGGAGGACAAAACATGCTTGGCTCGACTAGGCAGAGAGTTGCTGAAGGCTGCAACGACTGGTACAACAGCCCTAGTTCGTTTGTAGGTCGACGATAACTCCGTGCTTTGCGGAGCCTCTGTATCCTCCATGAGCTATTTTGTGCGCTGGTAATGAGGTACCCGAAACCCCTGCGAGATGGAGCGAGAGGCTGTTGTGCTCGTGAGCAAAAAGGCGGATGTCAAAAAGACGCCTCAAAAGCCGGCTGCTCTTGCAATAGCTCTTCATTGTAGATCCCACTTTTTCGCCAAGCGCCAAGCATCGACTCGGTGATGTATGTGCCACTTGCTGCGACGCTGTACGTACTCCGCCTGTATTGCATGCATGCATTCAGAGCGACCTGAACTTGAGAACTTGGGTTATTATAATGTTACCCGACTCGTGTTGCGTGATGTGACAGCACCGCACGATTTGCTCCCCCTTTCCCATTCCCCGCGTCCGGGTGCCTCCTCTACAATCCGTGAACTTGACCTCTCACCGACCGTGGGAATTCCTCGGCGGAAACCTGATGTTTGCTGGGGACTCCAGGAACGTTCAACAAGGACAGCGCGGAGCCGTGGCCGAGGTACGTCGCGACCCTCCCTGCCTTGTATTCAACCCCCCTCGTGCTGACCCTGCTTGGGGTGCATCCCACCCGATACGCATTCCCTCGAAGGTGCTTTTGGCCGATTACTCTAATTTTGCGTTGTATTTTTTCGTTCTTCCTCTATTGGCTTCTGCCTTGTGTTCTTCTTGCTGCTGTTGCTGCCTACTGCTTCCCCTTGTCTCTTCTGCCCTTTAGGTGCGGCGGCGCGAACGGCAGCATCAGGTTCGAGCCCGAGATCAACCACGAAGCCAACCTTGGCCTGGTGTTCGGCCTGAAGCTTCTGCAGCCCCTCAAGGACAAATACCCGGAGGTGGGCTGGGCGGACCTCATCCAGCTCGCGTCGGCGACGGCGGTTGAGGAGGCCGGTGAGGGAGAGTCTAAATCTCAAGCTGATTGTTACAAATGTAGGATACGAGGGAGCAGGGCCGTGGCTCTGGCTAATGGAACGGCTATCGTGCAGGGCATGTGCCCAGTGAATTTTAACGACGTACCGGGTTAGGAATGTCAAGGGCACTGTCTGTGTGCAGGCAGGAGCCTTCCTCCAGCCCTTGACGGGACAGAGTTCTGATGTAGTTTGCTAGTTCATAAGGCACGAGCACGGGGCTCGGCGTTGTCACAGTGATGGCTGCCAGAAGGTCGGATGAGACGAAGCTGGATTGATAGGCTGGGGAAGGATAGGGCTAGGGGATCTCTGTCGAGAAGAGAAAATGGGGACTGGTATCCCTGGTACACGATATGCCACAGCAAATACTGTGGAGCCCTTCCGTTTTACCCGATTTCGTCTTCTTAAAACGTCAGGCGGACCTGTGATCGACATGAGGTACGGGCGAAAGGATGCCGCGACGCCGAAGGACTGTGTAGACGAGGGCAACCTCCCCGCAGGGGACGCTCCTTTCCCTGACGCGGACACGCCGCAGGTTGGTTGGAACGGCGCGTTGATGTGTTGATGTTTGCTGCGTCCGTGTGCATTTTTCTTGTGTGCCCTAACACGCAATGCATCCCGAGAATGCCCGGCACGGGTTCTTTCGTAGCCTGAGTTGGATGCTTCTACTTCCGGTCGACACCATGGAGACGGTGTGTTGAAGTTGCTCCTGGCAGGTCTGCTCTTCAGCAAGTCATGTCCCGATGATGTTATTTGGGTTTGTTGTGGCTGTGTTGTATCCCCCTTGCTTTCGTGTCGTTGGCGTCTATCAAAGGACTTGAATAGAAACATACCTGTTTTCCTCTTGAAGCGCCCGCGCTGGCACTAGGAAAAAACTTTCCAGCCTGGCTGACGCCATTGCTCGCGCCAGAGGTTGGAGACATGTGCTTGGTATGGATGTAGCTTCTTTCAGTCGTTGTGCCAGCTCTGCCTCAAAACTCGGTAGATGTGGGCGACACCGGCGGATTCGGTCTCAGTTTCTCACGCGAAGAACGCTTTTTGTTTGTTCGTCCAGGCGCACCTCCGGAACGTGTTCTACCGGATGGGCTTCGGCGATGAGGGCATCGTTGCTCTGTCCGGCGCCCACACCCTCGGGCGGGCCGGCCAGCTGGTACGCACAAACCCGAACACAGACATAGACACGTATGTTTTTGTACCTCGGCAGTCAACAGCACATATGATTATGTATCGTGTCTGGTCATGTCGTGTCGCACATACTCAAACTCGGTGAGTCTACCCCTCGCGTAACGTCCACCCTCACATGCCACAGGCAGCTTATATCGGTGTTCACCTTTCCTTAGCTGCCATTCGTCGGCTACAGACTACCGGTTTCTGTGGAGATGCGCGTGTCCCGAAGGATTCTCGTTTGTCTTGGAGCGAGGCTACAGCGCTGTCTCATCTCCGGGCTCACGCCGAATCAATTGATGTATGCATTACTTCTTGTGTGCCTTGTGTTTCTGTCGACGGGTGGATGCGTCTTGGTTGGTGTGTCCTTCTGTGTATCACCCGCAGAACGCCGAAGGCGACTGGTCGCCGTGCACCAAGTTCACGGCCGCCGGCGTATGCCCCAGGGGGGGCGACGCACCAAGTAAGGGAAACCCCGGGGGAAGCTCCTGGACACGGAACTGGATGAAGTTCGACAACAGGTGAGCCCTGCGTGTGTGTGTGGCTTTGTCGGTAGCATCGACCAATAAAGATTCGTCAGCCTTTTCCGGGCAAGGAGACGTAGCAGCCATCTCACGTTTCGGGGCACCTTGGTGAGGGCTCCTCAAAAGCAGGTCGACTTGGTTTGGTGTGCGTGTGGTGAAGATCGCCGAGATGGAGTTGTGAGCGTACTTGCGAGGCGGAACATTGCTTTGAAGAACCCTGATCGTTGCATGCTCACGCTTTAGTTCTTAAAGCTGTCTATCGCGGTGGAAGCTACCACACTTTTGCTTTCGGTTACCGCCCGTGGCCATGTATTTGTGTGCTTGGAAGCGGTCGTGGGTGCGTAGTTACCCCATCGACGCCTTGACCAGTTGCTGGACAATGCCGATTTCTTCTTGTCCTGCGGCTCCTCTACACTCTTGAGCGTCCACACACTCTTGAATTTCGGTTGACGGCGCCTGCGTCCACAACCATACCGACGTTCGCAACATGTGGCTCGCGGGTCGTTTTGCGTTCTTTGGGTTTCTTGTCAGCATCCCCCCCCCCCCCCAAAATCACGTTTCATGGGCGTGCGTTGTGCCCGCCGACTTCTCCAGCTACTTCGCGACCGTGCCGGATGGAGAGGGCGGCTCGGAGCTATTCAAGCTGGAAACCGACAAATGCCTGTTCGTGGACAAGGGCTTCCTGCCCTTCGCGCAGAAGTACAAGGAGAGCCAGGAGGCCTTCTTCGAGGACTACAAGAAGGTCGGTGCTGGCGTTTCGCCTTTGAAGTTGTCTTTGTCTCTGGTGGTGATGATGGTGATGTCGTGTGTCGCACACTTGTTTAGATGCTATTTAGGTTCAGCGAAACGCGGGGTTCTGTTTTGCGAGGCGAACCGCGGGGGGGGCGGTTATCCAGCACTATCAGGTTTATCTCTAGTGCGGTTTAACGCGATCCATTGAGAAGGCCACTTTCCCACGTTTCAGAGCCAATTCGGTTTCATGAACACGTGACCCGACCCGGGAGAAGTGCGTCCAATAGCCGCGTGTCCCATGTGTGACATGTTGCGACACGGGTCGTTTTCCCGTATTTTTCTTTCGGGCAGAATTGAACCGCGATGTTTCCACAGGTATGATAGGATAGGTCAGATCACAATCGATCGATCTACATACATATTGTACATCATTTTCGTCGCAGATCACCAAAATCTAAAGGTACAGATCGATGTGTCAATGTTTTCGATTCTTGATCTATTGACATAGATATTGATCTATTGACATTGATATGCATAGATCTGAACATGCCTGCCGCGCTTGATGAATAATCCATAGATCATCTTGGATATTTCCGATTCTTGATCTATGGACACAGCTAGATCCGGACGTGTTTGCCGCTCTTGATCTATAATCCATAGATCATCTGTGATATTTCCAACTCTCAATCTGCAGACACCATATAGGTCCGAACATGTTTGCCGCTCTTGATCTATCATCCATGGATCATCTGTGATATCCGACTCTTGATCTATGGGCACAGATCATGTATGATGCTCCCGACGCTTAATCAATAAGACCGCAGATCATCAAGATCATGATCTATCCTATGTGTGGATGTTTCGTGCCTCTGCAAGTCACTCCTAAAACGGTCATAACGGATCCGGATCTTCAAGCATCTGCGTTGTGGCACAGCACCATCTTGTAGCGGTTCAGTCGCCCGTGAAAGTATTACACTGTATCTGCAACAACGAACGAATGCTCCCGAACTCTGCCTCCGTTTTCCATCTCCAGGCCCACAAGATGTTGTCGGAGCTCGGTGCCGTGTGGGAGCCAGAGGGCGGCTTCGCCATCTAAAGATTCCACCTCAGGAACCCGAGCCCAAAACGACGATGCGTTGTGGTGGCAAGGTCGATCACGTGCAGGGTATTTTGTGTTCGTATCGCCGTGTGCAGCCTTTACAGCAGGCGGTCGCAGTTCTTCTCTTTTGCGCAACAAGTTCGGTTGTTCTATGTGGATGCGAAGGCGACTCACTTCCACCGTGATGGTACAGCGAGCGCTAACGTAGTAGATAGTTCCTTTGCTTATCGGGTGAAGTGCGACTTGTTGTGTCTTTGTCCAGCCGCAGAAAACGCGCGGTGTGCGTGTGTGTGGTCGTGAGTTTTACAGTACAAGTCTGCCAAACGGGAGATGTTGTGCGGGTCACCTGTTTCCTGATGCGCTGGGCGATTTGCGCGTTTCGAGCACTGGGCGCTCGGTAGGTTGCCTACTCGGAGCGGAGCGATGCCAGCGTGGAATATTGTGGCCCTCTCTTTTTGTGTGGGACTTGTCCTGTTGGTTGGTTGTGTGTGTGCCGCTGTTTCCGACAGTCAGGCCGGTCGGGCCGTCGCAACAAACTTGGTTCCGCCTTTTGCATTTGTGATGATTTCCATCACCAGGGCTCACAATCATATCTGCGATGGCGTGGTAAATTAGTAGCTGGAGGTTTTCCTTCGTTCGACAGTCATGAGTGAAAGTGCCCGGCGGGAGGACAGCAAGCCAACGGCCGAGAACACCCCTCGGACTCCCGAATTAGGTAACCTTAACCTTCTCCGTCGAGGAGAGCAGAATCCACCCGGTGTTGCCACCGAGAGCCAGGGGATCGAAACGCTGGTATTAGTATAATATCCCAAACGAAGTGTTTTACGTCGAGTTATCCATCCGATTTAGTCTCTCACCCTTCCCTCTTGTTTCGACCCGCGCGTCCAACAAAAAAATGGTAAATAGGTACTACTTCTCAAATCTCCTGCCGGTATTCTACAGCTGTGCTGCGAGCCTTTCTCGACTCCAAACAAAATAACTTGGGTGCTCTCTGAAAGGACATCGAAGTTGCAGTGACCTCCACAAGAGTTTGGGGATTTCGTAGCTGGGCGAATGTCAAGAGCACGAGTAAGACCCATCTTTATGGGGAACAAATCTTCCTTTGGGCAAATCTTCCCTTTTTCGACCTTTTGGGCAGCCTGCTACGCGAACGAATGCAAATCAGCTGTTCGACCCTCGAGAAAAGTCACAGCTTTGGTTGAGATGTCCACAGATCACCTATTTGTTTCGCCAGGGTCCACGTTTGATTTTTTTCCAGCAGTTGCACATTTTGAAAAAATCAAACGGGGAACCTTGCGAACCAAATAGGCAATTTGTAGACATCTCAGCCAAAGCTATGACTCTTCTCGAAGGTGGAACAGCTGATTCGCATTCGTTCGGGGAGCAGACTGCCCAAAAGGCCGAAAAGACAAGATTTTCCCAAAACAAGATTTTGTTCCCATAAATGGGGGTCTAAACGTCGTATTGTATGGGCCAGCGGGAGAGAAAAATAGAAGGAACGCCTCCCCATCCGCTAACATGCACGCCGCCGTGACTCCATCACCCGCGACCGTGATTTCGTCGTTTAGCTCCTTAAAATGTCTCGTGTCCTATTATCTTCCATCAGTTTCAGCAGCTTCTCGTCGTCACCATAACACACCAGAGCTTTGTACCTACCCGTAGGGCGGGGCGGGCGCCTACCCTTATTCTTGGCCGCGCAACGGCCCGTTTGTCTTCTTTCCGGAAGGCTTCGGGACTACCACATCATTGTCTTACATCATTATCGTCGTCCGTAGTTGGCGGGTGACGGTGGTGGGAGAGACCCGTCGTGGACCCTTGCGGGAGCATGAACAGCTGCCGGTGGGGTATGGGAAGCGCAGCTCGCCCCCTTACGGATTATGTGAAATCAGCGGCGGGGAAGGAGCGCCCCCCGGGGGCCCAAGCGGCGGGGGCGGGTTCTCCCTGCCGCCGTGGCCGCATCAGCAGCAGCAGCAGCAGCAAGAAATGCGTCGATCGGGGCGGGGTCCCTACGAGGGGACAGAGAACGTCGAGCGGCGGGCGGCGGCGGTAGAAGAGACCCGTCGTGGACCCTCGCGGGAGCATGACTGCCGTTGGGGTATGGGCAGCGCAGCTCGTCCTCTTTCGGTCACGCCGGCCTCGGCTACGGGGAGGAAGGAGAGGTGCCTGGGGGCGCAAGCGGCGGGGGCGGGTTCCCCCTGCCGCCGCGGCCGCCGCAGTAGCTCAGGCGGTCGCCCCCCCCCCCGTCCTCCGACTACCGTGGGCGTGGTGTCGGGGGGGTGTCTGCATCGGTAATCGGTCTGTTGGGTCAGGTGTTCGAGAGTCTGCGAGCATTGGTGTTGGATACACGTGCTGTATGATTTGGTGTCACGCAGATTGGTAAGATTGCCGTTTGGTAGGGGGCACCGTGATGTGTCACGGGGCCCCTCCTTGCTGTTGGAGCGTTGGAGCTGCTCTGTGTGGAGCACTCCCTCTTTCGTCCGTGCGAAGGACGGTCGCCTACCTCTCGTGAAGTTAATACATCACCGAAACAGTCTCACTCGACAAATAAGTGGCGTAGGCCGCAAACACTCAAACATCAGGCGCCGCTGCTGCCGCCACGGCAGGAGCATGGTCCCTTCACCGGGGGGGTTAGGGACTATGAGGAATTGGGGGCGCAAGCGGGTGAAGTCTGACCTGAGTTCCCGCGAGAGAACCGGCAACAGCCCATGAGGTGTGTGCAGCCCACTTTGTCCCCGTTCGGAGCCGCCGGCTTCCGCGCCGGGGACGGAGCGGCGGCGGGTGGCGCAGGCGGGGAGGGGTTCTCCTTGCAGCAGCAGCAGCAGCAGCAGCAGCAGCAGCAGCAGCACCAGCACCAGCCGGCGTGGCAGCACCAGCCGACGTGGCAGCACCAGCGGACGTGGCAACAGCAGCAGCAGCAGCAGCAACAGCCATGGCCGGTGGTTCCGGGTGGGTACGCACCAATGGGCTTTACTGGCGGCCCGGGCCCTTCGCTCGGCGGGCAGCACCAGCCTCAGCCGTCGTGGCTGTAGCCATGGTCGAGATGGCTCCGGGGGGGTACGCGCCCATGGGCTTTGCTGGCGGCTCGGGCCTTTCGTTCAGCTGGCAGCAGCAGCCTCAGCCATGGCCGCAGCAGCAGCAGCAGCAGCAGCCAAGGCCGGTGGCGCCGTCGGGGCAAGCTCCCACGGGCGCGGCTGGCGGTGACGCCTACGGGCTGGGCTCGGGGTCGGGAGGCACCGGGGGAAGCAGCACGCCGTCTGCAGGTTCCTCGGGGGGACAAGGGCCTGTCGCGTAGGTGTGTGTGTCTGTGCCTGTGTCTGTGTGTTTACATATAAATACTTTTTCTTTTGCTAACCCAAAGGCTACTCTGTTATTGCCAGCTCAGCACTACGTAGTGCTGGATGACGCTTCGAAGATTTTGTTGCTTGTTTCCGGTACAGATATCGATTGTCGAAGACGGTTGAACTCTTCGGCATTTTCGATGTTTGAAAAGTCGATCAATACTCCATGGAACCCACGATGTTATGTAGCCATGCGGATCCCCCCGCGGCGGCAGCAGCACAGCCAGACAGCAGCTGCACGGCGCGAAGGTATGGTATTGGGGGAGGGGTCATGAAAGGCGTGCATTCGGCGAAGAGGCGTAGGTAGCAGGTGCAGCTATTTATCCGTTTGTGCCTCGTTGCGAAAGCTTGGCTTGTTCTCTGTCGTGTGAACCTTGAAGTAGCAGTCGCCTACTACTATAGGCACACAGGACGACGAACCGATGCAAACTGTTCCCGATTTCATTAGACAGCAGTCGCCCATCTTTTTTTCTTTCTTCTTCTTTTCGTCTTTTTTGTTCGGCAGTTGACTGTACGCTGCCGGTTCGGAGGCCTGTTTTTCGCGTAATTTCTTATTGCGGGGCAGGACGCCAAGTTGCTCCAAACATTTTTGGTTCCGGCGGGGCCTCCAGCAGGGCCCTCCTCACTGGCCAGAGTTTTGGGGGTGGCTAGCGGGGCGCTTGGGGTCGCACAACGAGCTTAGCTCGCTGTGCTCGTATCGAATTTATCAATGAATCCATATCATTCCAATACTAGCGCTTTCGTTTCTTTGCGGCGAAGAGACATCCTTGGCGTGCTGGCTTGACCCCCGCCCCTCCCCGCTACTCTTGATGTATGTGTTGAAACCGTGCCGGCAGCCCCCGTCTCCCCAGCAGCCGGCCTCTAGGATGAACCCCGAAGGGAGGGCTCCGCGTCCGGCTCCGCGCCCGAAGAACAATATGCCAACGAACAAGGGTTATTTTTACCGGACTGTTCCCGAGCGAGACAGCAAGCGGAGGTACCTGATGTCATCCGCTCCTCCTGGTGTGCGAAATGCAACAAGTACCACCCGGCTTCTGCCGAGATGACACCCCCGGCATATCCAGCATTCAGAGTGTCTGGTGCGGATCCCAACCTGGTGATGGGGTCCGAGTGTCGATGGAGGGGGTGCCGGGGTTGCCGTCGCCCCATCCCCGGGACCTTTCCTGCAGGAATGCAAGTCTTGGGCCTGACCGGCCATGCTACAAGGAATCTAGATAAGCTCGGGTTATAATAGACGTCCCCGACGAACAAATGGACGCTGCCTTCGCGACCGCACAGAAGTGAATTATTGACAACAAGTAGAAACAACAGTCCTAGGCGATGGATGGGAGAACACGCGCGCGAAGAGACGAGTCAGAGGGTTGGGGGTTTCTCGGGTGTGTGGCACTGCTGCTTGCTGTCCTTGGGGAGGGGAATAAACCAAAATGCGACAAACGCTCCCAGAGCCCAAAATTTATCCAAAACATAAAACGGAAAGAAATAAAACACTTACATAAAGTGTGGAGGGCCCTCCATTTATCTAACACAAAAATAGTCGGGGTTTCGGCGCCTGGAAGGCTTTCTTTCGCCGAAGGCGATTTAGCATGCACATTTCTAAAACGCACTGTGAACGCACTGTGCGCATTTCAAAAACCGCACTGTGCGCACTCCCCCTCTCTCGGTGTCCGACACAGCCCCTCCCCTGCCCCCATCTACCACATATATCTATGCCACATATACATCCTCCCCACTTCCCTCTGTCAATGACACACCTTCCCGTTCCATGTCCTGTCAGGTGAAACATGCATCAGCGTGGCATGGGTAATGGAGGAGTTGGGCACTGTTGGGTGTACGTGCTGATGCAGGCGTACGCCATCGACGGGGGATGGCCTGTGGCCCTCGTTGAACGTGCGTTCTCGCACAAAGACAGTGACCGGCTTTACAGTCTATGTGGAGCCGCTCGTTCCCTGGCCGTCGCTGTGTTCGACGTGTCTCGCGACCCTTTCATCACTTGGGCGCGAAACATGGAGGGGCCACCGCTTGCAAATGATTCGGGTCTCATCCGGAGGCTGTCCCTCGATCATTAGGCGAAGATCGACAACGCAGTTGACGTCCGAAACGCCATGTTATACATGGACCCTGACGGCGGCGGCGGGGGACACGGTGGCATGGAGGCCATACGCGCTCTCGCGGAGGGTTTCGGCATCGACTTGCCCATGGGGAGGGAAGTGGACGTAGATACAGCGTTCATCGAGGGGGCCACGAAGCGCATGGCTCTCCACGACCCGGACGCGGGGCACTGGTCTCTTCGGGTATTCATGGTGAGTTAATCACGCGTTTAGCATTGAGGTGAACGATTCGGAGTGGTGATGTGGTGATCTGGTGCCGCAGTGGATTTACGCCTCCCCCGTACTTTGATAACGTATCAGACGAATAAGGAGCAAGACGGGGTCAGAGTCGGGAGCGAGAGCGACGTGGTGGACTATGTCGAGGAGCGCATCAACCTGTCCCTGGCGGAACTTGCGATCAACCACGATGGCGATGACCCCACGAGCACGGGCGACGACGTGACCACGGGAGATGACGTCAAGGTGTGTGCATTGTGGGCAGTAATGTTTTCGCGTCGTAGGTGGTGTAACATGTTTGAGCAGCACCGACCCCAAGATTACTGAAATAAAATTTTTGGCTCCCCTGGCGTCTCGTGTGTGTTAACCTCTCGTGAAGCCCCCTAACATCGACATCGGCTGCGACACCGAGTTCTCTGACTCGACGACGGCGCCCCCGAGCCTCAGCTCGTCGCGTGGTGACGTGACTCCCGACCTCATCCCGGAGCCTTCGAGCCCCACCTCATCACGGGCTTCCTGGGCGTCTCATCCGTGGGACGACGATGAGTACTGGGGCGACGACCAGATTTACCTCGACCACAACAGCTTCTTCGCTGAGGAGGTCTGCCTGTTCCCGTCCGTGTGGGGGGAGTGGACGCGGGGACCGGAGGAGGTTTGCCTCTTCCCGTCGGTGTGGTCCGATTGGACCAGGACGCAGCCCAGGAAGCGCTGCAGGGTGCGCGGCAGCGGTGGGCGGAGGACGACGACGAAGAGGAACAAAAAACGCCGGTGCCCGCGGCGCCGCCGGGAGAGACGCCGCCGCCGGGCCTTGCGGCGCAAGAGGCTGGCCAGACGTGCGCGCTCGGGTGGACGTCGCCGACGGCTGCCAACCTCCTTCCGAGGGGGGGGGAACTCTGGGGACGAGGGCGATCAGGTGTGTTGCACGTTGCTGTGTAGCTTTTAGATCAAAGTGTATGGACTACCACGGATCGTTCTGCTTTGGAAGAGATCACCCGTGCCGTGCTTGACATCCCTAACGAGATTCGCAAAACCACCCTCTCTTTTTTTACCCCGTTGCATTCTCTAGGGAACGGGGGAGGAGACGGTACGGGCGGCGACGCAGGCGGCCGAACAGGAGTCGAGACAGTGTCCGACGGTGACACCGGAGATCAGATCGATCCCGCACCTCCGACCGGTATGGCTTACTAGAGTAGAAACAGTACACTCAAACGTTCTTGGCGGACAAGTCAAGTCATTGCCTGTAGACCAGATCAGGGGCGCTCACTTACGCTTGCAGTCACGCCTCCGTAATTGTCGCTGCCTCCCATCCCACCCTTCCCCCGTTCCAGTTCGACGCAAATCCTCGAGGGCACCTCCTGGCCCCCCATGTCGAGACCCTCGGTCTGAGTTTGAAAACAGGGCCTGGATGAAAGATACCAAACGGGCTGCAATGCGAGTTGCGCAACTGTCTCGTGGAGATGGCCTCGCCTCCGGTGGTAAACGCAAGGCCGGCCATGGCGGTGGCGGTAGCGGTAAACGTCCTGCCGGTGGCGGTAAACGCAAGGCCGGCCGTGGCGGTGGCGGTGGCGGTAAACGTCCTGCCGGTGGCGGTAAACGTCCTGCCGGTGGTGGTGGCCCTGACGGTGACGCCAAACGTCCTGCCGGTGGTGGTGGCGGTAATGTTGGCGGTGGCGACGGGGGCGACGTGGGCGACGGTGATGGCGGTGACGACGGGGGCGACGGGGGCGACGGGGGTGTCACTCCCGTGGACGTGGGCGACGGCGATGGCACTTGCAGCGACGGCGGAGGATCTGGGGGTGTCAAGGGGGCCGCTGACGTCAGGCAAGCGCAGCTTCGACAGCGTAGAGCAGAGGGTACAACGCGAGTGGATTCAACGGAACTTGGTCGATGGCTGACGGAACCGTTTTTGCCTTGCATGGAGGCTTTCATACAACAAAATCGCAAGATTGCCGATGAGAGAGCAAAAGACCACGAGGGCACGGCACCTACCACGCCAAAGAGGCCTGTCGGAGTTGGGACGCTCGCGGATCTCGCTAACCCCCTTTTCTCTTCTGTCTAGATCTAGCGGGGATGGCTTCGAAGTCTTCGAGGGAATTTTTTTCCACGATCCAACATGACGCTTCTTCGGAGAGACCGCGAAAAGCTACCGGAGACAGAGAAAGCCTGGTACTTCAAAATGCACAAGTTCAAACGTCACTATGAGCTCGACTACGTCTTCAATCCTTCGGACATCGGTGTGGTGTTGGGACGGACAAAGGTTCGATTGGAGGGCGGGGACCAGAAGGTGGTGCTATTCGACAGCGGCCTGTACACCCTGGAAGATGGGCGAAAAATCAAGCAATGGGAGCTCCTGGAAAATCGACTTGGGGCCGGTGTGACACTCGAGCAAGACCTCGCGCGGTACATTCGACAACTAGCGACAGCGCATACCACCTCCATGGGGAAAATTGTGCCGTGGTTAATGGCGGGGGAGAACAGAAAAGATGACATGCTTCTGGACGTTAGTGGTGGGTTGAAACGTGCGGCAGCCAGTGGCGACAAGATTGACTCAAAGAGCAAACTAGCGATAGATGAGCTGCAAGCGACAAAGAGCAAGACAGACAGCGTCCGGCAGTTCTCCCTGGAAATCTTCACCAACGCCAGTGTGCGGGACCTCCTCCCGCTACCCGAAGCAAATTCCGGCGAGGGAAAGATGGGGGACACAACGCGAGCTTTCATTGGACGCCCGGGATCACTGAAGGAGCTCAATTTTATGCCTGGCCTCGAATGTTGCAAAGATATTGCGAGAATAAACAGAACTTCCGCGAGGTGGAGGTGAAGGGTGAAAGGGGTGAAAGATATTGCGAGAATAAACAGAAATTCCGCGAGGTGGAGGTGCAGGGTGAAGGAGGTCCCGGGTATTATCATGACGAAAAGAAATATCGCGGGCAGAAGGGAAGAAAGCAGAGCCAAGGACCTGGATCAAAGAAGAATCTCGGGGGGGCTGGGGAAAGCGCAAAACAATCATCACGCGAGAACATCGAGGACGACTCGCAGGGTGGGATTGTAGAGGAGGAGGGGGGCCGATCGGTGGTGCACAACACCGAGGGTGATGGCCTGGCGACGGGGAGCGTCTCGTCCAACCACGGAAAGCGACGTTTTTCAGCCACTAAGGAGCATTCCAAGCAGGGTGGAAGTAATTATCCCAAACTGCATGTGGTTTCGGGTGTTGATAATTTGAACTGCACTGGTGTAGGCCGTGGGAGCAAGAATGTATTGAGGACTAGTACCCCGCAAGAAATTCTTGGTCATAGTGTTTCGCAAGATGCACGTGTACAGCTTCAGGAAATAATCACTAGTAGTAAGACAAACAGGATTTTTCCAGAAGTAGGGGTGCCGAGCACGCCCCTTTCGTATGATCAAACGAAGTCTAGCATTGACACAAAGGGAAATGTTGGTGGCAATGCAAAACCAGCAGGGAATGCGTTAACCTCTCAACGTAAGAAAGTACGCACGGCAAATTCTCCGAGGGCAGTAAAATATCCGCCGGATCCTCAAGCGGAGCACACTGTTGGTCGAAATGGTGCCAAAAAGGGGTCGATTAATCGGGACACTAGAAAGGAAAAAAGCGTTACCGTTGATCGTGCTGGAAGCAAGCAAAACCATGAAACTGTTGCTTTACCAGTGATAGGAGAAGAGGGCGTGATAGGGGATGCATCCGCCTCTGACAATTCTCTCAAGCGTGAGGTTGAGGTAACAGCTCAGGAGGGAGGGGATTTTGGTGAAACACAAGAAGGAACAGATCGCATTTTTGCCGTACAAGTATCTGTTAGTTCTGTGTCAGGACAAAGAAGTGATGCGGTGTATCCTCCGCCTCCTTTTACGTTTGCTGCAGGTGAAGCGGTGGACTACCTGTTACTCGGTCGGTCGGTGGGGATTTGACGATGGATCGACACCGGCATACGACAAGAGTGCAAGTATTCGCGGGGTCAAGAGCGACCAAGATGATATCGTGGGAGGCTCTGTTGGATACGGGAAGTCCGGCATTGTTTGTACAAGAAAGGTGTGTGCAAAATATGTTGGCATGCGGTTCTTCTTCAGATGATAGCATTGAAACAGGGCTGAATAAGAAATTGGGGTGGGTTCCATGGGGTGCCGTTGGTTACTGATCGAAGAATGCGATTAAATATTGAAATGTGGAAGGGCGGAAAATCAGCGCCATTTCATTTTGGTACACCGACGGTACGGACGAGTGTGTATGCGTATATCGTGCCAGACGCAGCCATGGGACATGATCTGATACTAGGGAGGGATAGCTGGGCTGATTTTCCAGTTTGCAGATTCCAAGACGTGTCGGACTCGGAAACAATTGTCACTTTTGTCGGTTCAAATACGGATAAAGTGGCAGGTGATCACCGCTTTGATGAATGGGTGGGTAATGCGGTGGGTATGGTGGAAACGGAAGGTGATGGAAAGGTGGTGGTGAAATCTGATGGTCGTAGACGACGGCTTCCAAATGCAATGTCATGGGTGGAGGTAAAATTGACCAACCTAGATGGCAGTGACGCGGCGGTAGGTTCGTACCGTGTGCATTTTGGGAAGAAGTGGTTCCCGCAGGAAGCATTGGTCGAAAATGGCACGTCTGAAATTCCTCTGAGAAGGGTAGGGGACAGCTCGTGTCTGGTGAAACCAAACGATATATTTAGGGGTATGGTGGTGAACCCCTGGAGGTGGTAAATTTGGATGATGCTCGTTTGGTGGAAAATGAGAAATTCAAAAATGTGTTTGCTGTTCAGGAGGGTGAAGAGGCCGACATGCCTAACGACGAACCTCCCGCTGATGTTATGTCTTCTTTGAATGGGGCGCAACAGGTGGCGTTCAGGCGGTTGTGGCAGAGGGTGCCTCCGCACATTCGATACGTCCATTTCGACTTCAATGCGAAACTAACTGTGGGAGCCGGAGGACATTGACAAACTAGGTGATTTGTTGTGCAAATTTGAGCATCGTTTTTCGAAGAGTGGTTCGGATTTAGGACGGGTGACGGTGCATCCGTTTCGAATCATTTTGAAGCCGGGGGCACAGCCAGTGCGGCAGAGACCTTACCGCTATTCGCCGGTTATGAACGAAAAGGTGCAGATCGAAATTGACAAATTGCTGTTGGCGGGTGTGTTGCGGAGATCGTACAGCAATTGGGCGAGTCCGTTGGTGGTAGTCGCGAAGGCTAATGGTGGTGTGCGGTTGACGGTCAACTATAAGCGCATCAATAAAATGAGTGCAATCCCGAAATTGCCCATCCCAATAGTGGAGGATATTTTGGCGGAATTGGACAAATCGAAAATCTTCAGTACGCTGGATTTGGTCAGTGGGTTTTTCCAGTGCAGTATTGAAGAGGACAGCATTCCGATCACTGCTGTTATCACGTCTACGGGGTTGTACGAATTTTTATCCGTGCCGCAAGGTCTCAGTAGTAGTCCGGGGTGGTTTCATTCGGTGATGGCCAGAGTATGTGACGGACTGGAACGTGTGCGTCTGTTTATCGATGACGTTATCGTTTTTTCCAGGGACGGGGCAGAACACGTGCGCGACCTGGAGAGGTTTTTCGAGCGCATGGTCAAGTTCAACCTAAAACTGGCACCCAAGAAGACGAACCTGGGGTGACGTTCTTGGGACATCAAGTCACGGCGGAAGGGATCGGGCCGGACCCGGGAAAGGTCAGACCGCTGCGTGAAGTGCCAATGCCCACTAATGTTAGCCAGCTGCGATCGTTGTTGGGGTCTTTGTCGTACTATCGAAAGTTTCTGAGGAACATGTCGGCAAAATTGAAACCGATCAATGCGATGCTGAAAAAGGGGGCGAAGTTTGCATGCACGGCTGATCATATGGCTGTGGTGAGGAAAATGATGGATATTCTGTCTGGTCCTGAGGTATTGGCATTTCCGTGTTATGAGGATGCAATCTCGGGAGAGCGGCCGTTTTGGTTTACCGCTGATGCGTCGATTTCGGGCTTGGGAGCCGTAATTGAGCAAGAGCAACGAGATGGAAGTATTAGACCGCTATGCTTTTTGAGCAGATCAACATTCCCGAATGAAACGAGATGGAGTCCGACTGAGCTTGAAGCGGGTTCGATAGTGTGGGCGATAAAGAAGAATCGAACACTAATTTATGGCATTCCCTTTGAAGTGTACAGTGACCAATATGGGGAGTTTGGCAGAGAAAAGCGACCTTGTTCCGCCACCGGTGGTGGAATCCCGAAGCTCGGGAGTCGAAAGCCGAGCTGAAGATGTCGGCTCGTGCTTGGGGGCCGGAGTCGTGGTCACCATGGTGCTAAGAAGGCCGTGGAGATGGCGATTATAGCGCTCCTGCAGACGACGCCAAGTGTAGTGGTATGCACGCGTGATGAAGTCTGGTTGACCCGTGAAGAAGAACTCACTTGTTGTTACTCTTGTAGAACAGCAGCAGCAGTAGCTGTTGCCTTGGGTATCGGTAGGAATGACACCAAGGGGCACAGGATCCTCTGCACAAGCAGGGGCTACTTGATCCTGTCCCCTGCTTTTTATCCTTCCGCGGAGAGTTACATCTCTCCGCGCCTTCTAGAAGGAACCAAGCTCTTCTATGTTCCGTCTACACATCTGAATCCTATAACAAGGACCATCCTGCAAATAGGGTCACCGCTCCGGGGGGGGTGGGGTGGTGTTAAGGAGTGTGGCTGCTAGCTTAAATAGGGTACATCTTATTGTTGATAGGATGTGGGTCGGTCCCAGGAGGTATACCCTTCAGACACCTACCCTCTTAGGATTTGTCTAGTCTGCGTACCCCCTGAGGTGAAGTTGGATCCCCACTTCACCTCAGACCCTTGCTGATCGTCTCTCATCAATAACAAGCAACTTTCTCATCTCAACGTGATCGTGGACAAGCGTGTCAACGACAGAACCTACCTTCATCTATCTCTAGGAGCAAGCTACCGCCCACGGCTTCCCCTCCTTTAAAGTGGCCTATGTGTCCGGAATTTTTTTCCGCGGGTACCCTTGGCAATGACTCCATTTTGTCTATCTATCCCGCGATCGACACCTACCTATTCTTTGTACTACCCAATGACCTACTACCTCCTACCTGCTGCACGGCTGCACGGATACACAGCAGCAGCAGCAGTGGCCGCGGGTGATTGGCGCGCCTTCACCCCATACACCGCCGCGGCACCACAAGGCCTAGCACAAACATCTGATGATGTATGTTTGGACCCGCAATTGTATGATGTGTGTGTCTGTTGTCTGCATCGATCACGCACAACCGACTGACCAATCATCAATGAAAAGACAGACGTCGTCAGTCTCAATGCAAAACACTTGCGCCTATAATTCCTGAACTGGGACCTCGTGGCGGGGCGCGCGCGTGTGTTGTTGTTTTTTGTATCAATCGCGCAAACGGCTGACTAATAAACAGATTCAGTCTCAGTGCGGTGTGTGTGTGTTCGTCCCATCTACTCTGTCAGGTCCCGCAAGACTTTTTTTCACTAACCTTCTGATTTTCCCACATTTCCCCCTGCGGTGCTTGTGCCTTGCAGTGGGTATTTGTAACAGCGTTCATTCAGCCGTTCAGCCTCCCTTTCCCTTGTCGACCGTGACGCCAAAGGAGTCATGCAACGGTAGGGGTGCACGAATCCCTTCTAAGTCTCAAACGTGAGAAGCTCCATATCTATCTCAGCCTGAAATGGCCATTGACACAATATGAAAATATGACGTGATAGTATAGGTAATCCGATGGGCTAGATGAAACACGATTGAAGTTTATTGGTAGGTTATTAATCTGAGTAACGAAGGTTCTGGGCCATAATGTGCTATCCCTACCGTTGCATGACTCAAAGATTGTTTTCCCACGAGACCTATCCATTGATGTTCGCATTCAACTACGACAAGACGTTATTGCTGGAAATACATGTTGGGACAAAATCCCTCCCTGGAGAGGATGAACCCACAACCTACACAGTGCCATGACAAGACACTCCTGTTAAGGTGGACGGCCGGCCGGATTTTTCAATGCATTTGCCGTTGTGTCACGCAATAATAGAGGATCATCACTAGCAGTTATTGTGGCCCCAAATCTGCTGAGTCACAGCCAGCAGCGTGATTGGACATTGCTCGGTAGATGACGACAGGAGCGAGAGTTCGACACCCACCAGGACAGTCAGCGGTTTCCCCGTCTTTTCATCGATGCTCTAGAATACGACCGCACATTGCGACACTCGATGCAGCATACATAAACTCTGTTTTTCACTCGATTTTTCTTCGCAATGAGGCCGAGTCTTACGTCGTGATCATTTCGGGATTTTGATTGGGGGGGGGGTCCTTTTCTCAGTCCAAATAATTATTTGAGCGTCTTACGCGGAGGAATTTGGCCAATTCCAAAACGCCCAAATTCCAAATCGCCGAATATTTCCTAGGATCCCTGCTGCCGCGTTGGAATATAGGCCCATCTTCCAAACTGGATCGGCTGATATTTTCCAGTTTGGAATTGGGGGGGGGTACCCCCTGGTCACACCCCGATCGTGCCAGAACGAGGAACTACACCGTCTGCTGGCCGAACAGAGGCCAGTATCATGAGGCCATGCACAATCCCTCTGCAGGTATATAAAATTCAGGGCGTTCTGCGTCGTGTTGGCCGCACACGAGCCGGTAACGTCAACCCTGCCACATTGCTCTGCTGACGTTCTTGCCTTTGGGCCGAAAAGAGCCGTTTTTGTGCCTGCTGCATGTGTGACCAGTCAAAACGCACGCCAGAGAGAGGCTTTACGCCGTCGACAACCATAAACTGCAGCCAGTGGCGTGTGATCATACACATACCCTCTGCTCGCGTCCCAGAAACAGAGCGTATTGTTCTGTTTTGATTGCACACGGCCTGCAAACGTGAACCGAAGTATGTTGCGGTGTTGACTTTTTGGATTTTCTTCTTGTTCCGCCGCGTGTTTGCTCCGTGTGTCACCCGCTACCAGTCCACAACGCATGCCAGAGGGAGGCTTTCGACCGATGCCATCCACAAACTACGGCCAATGGCGTGTGATCATACACATACGCTCTGCTCGCGTCCCAGAAGCAGAGCGTATTGTCCAGTTTTGATTGCACACGGCCTGCAAACGTAAACCGAAGTGTGTTGCGAGATGTTGATTGTTTTGAACGTTGCAATTTGTTTTGTACCTCCGAGCGTGATCAGACCACAACGCATGCCAGAGAGAGGCCTTTGCCCGACGACATCCACAAACTGCAGGCACTGGTGTGCGATTGTTCACATGCCCTCTGGAGGCGACCCAAAAACAGGGCACGCGGTGTCTTGTTGGTCGCACACGAGCCAAAACCGTGAACTGAAGCATGCCGTGACCCACGAAGACTTGAACCGGCCCCTTTTTCCCCTGAGAAACAAATCTGTCTCGAGGAACCGTAAGAAGGTCGTTTGGATCCAGAAAATTTTGCCCTTGCAGACCACCCCCCCCCCCCCCCCGAGAGAAAAAAAAAATCTCGGAAATAATCACGACGTAAGACTCGGCCTGAAACGAAAAAATGAAAATACGATGGCACAAAAAAAACTCCTTCAGCATAAGGTGCTGAAATTTACGACGTAGAAGAATGATCTTGAACGGATGCCGCACAACCACTATACAGTATGAACAACCACTAACGAAGGCATTCGCCATCGAGTAAAACATCGGAGGATGGAAACTACCTGAGTGCTCCAACCGTTTTTGGAAACACAACCCTCCTCCCAAGGAAAAAAGGAGCCGAGGTGCACAGCTCAAAAAAGTGAAAAACCCAAAGACAGCACAAAAAAACACGGGAAGAACGGCTGGCTCGCGGCACATGCGCGTTACTGTAACTCATTGTGGTGGGTTTTGTCACCCAACCAACCGGAACCCTCCACCCCTACCCCCCTGGTCGTCCCTTTCGAGTACGGCGTCATGACCGCGCGACCGCACCTACATCGAACCCATAGCCTGAGAGTTGGGCAACATGCGTAATTTATGTGCGCAACGCGTCAGGCTGACCTCGAGTTCGACGTCAAATAAACCGAGAAGACAAGTGCCGAGTCCGCAAACGACGGTTGCTACGCGCGTGACGTAGGCCATTCGGGCGATTGCCCCATGTACAAAAGAAAGGGTGCGAAGTAATGAAAGCGAAGCACACACACACACAGCTCCCATGCTCTTCCCCTGGTTTCCTGAACCTGTTTCATTTAAATCAAATCTGAATAGATCGCCGATTGCCACGAGTGTACACACACCGGGTCACACATGCGTGAGAGAAAGCGCAAACGCACCGAGATGTCAAGGGTTACTGCTCGCCCCTTCAACGTCTCTCCGGAAGGATAGCGAGCAAAGGGATAAACTAAAATCATTAAAAATAGGCGAAAGCGCAGCAGAACTATTCCAAGAGCTTCATGGAACAGCAACCGATAAAATTCTACCCCACAATCCGAGGCAATACATGGATGCCACCCCCGGTACCCGTCCAAATAACACCAGACGAACATTTCTTCGAACACTTAACGTTCACCTGTCAAGACACAGCACAAAACCAATTAATAACGCTGAGAAAACCATCTACCTGGCACACCTGGCGCAAGGGACACATGAACGTCAGGCTCTACGCGACTAGTCGCGCCCATGTGTGCCGAAGTATATACTATGCAGGGACCCATCAGCCGAATCGCATACGCTACCAACATGCGGGTGGGTGGTCTACGTCTCGACGAGCTCGGAAAGGTCCCACTTGGGACCGATCTGGCCGCAGCCTTCAGGGCCTTCCATCACCAACCCGGGGCACTCGGTCTCGTCAGCAGCATCGTTCGCGGGGCCGTTTCCGCACTGGATGTCATTATAGAGAGGGCGGCCGACAGATCCGGGCCCCGCCTCGAGCATGTCGTAGAGGTCCCTGATCTTCACCTCGCCGATCGGGGTGTCCACAAGTTCCTCTCCGATACCGTGGTCGAACGTGGTCGACATGTAGCACTTGCTTCCGACCGAGTAGCTGTCGGCCCACCCGGCGCCGCCGGGGTTGGCGCCAGGGACTTCGATGATCTTCACAATGTCGTCGTTCATGGCGCCTTCCGGCGGTCCGTCACTGCGGGGATGGTTCAGACAGGTCGCGGAAGGCGAAGCAAAACATACATTTTGAGTCGTTAGTCTTTGCGTACATTCTGTGTTCAGGCCGATTGTCACGGGCACGAAAACGTCTTCAGACCAGCCTTGCAAAACAACCACGACAAATATGTTCTACACGGTAAACACACCAATGTACCAGTGGGCGTTACGAGGTATCAGTATGCATCTTCGATCGCCCGTCTCCTAGACGGGAAACATCCGCATGCGGACGTGGGCGCGCTTTGTGACAAATAACTTGGTTTCTGACCCCCATGTATTCCTAACGTATTCAGTAACATGTGGGTCCAAAACACATTGTTGAGGTAGGCGCTTACTGCTAGGCCGGAGAAATAATATCCCCACCCGCTGGTTTCGGGCTTGCGCAACCACCCGCTGGTTTCGGACTTGCGCAATGGGATAGAAACGACAAAATGAAGCATGATTGAGGTAGTCGTTCAACACGGGAAAGGTAGTCGAGTGTTATGGTACAAGCTGTTTTCAGGTCTCACATGGTGGTGAACGACTCGATCTCGTACAAGTCGAAGGCGTAGTAGCCGCCGCAAATTTCGTTCTGTACAGTAGCGCAAGAAAAACAGTCAGATGGATCAAGACGAGGGGAGGGCATCGAGGCGGGTTAGATTATCAGGGAGATTCCAAGAAAGGCATCGGCACCAATTAGGGGGTCGGGTACAACAGGAACAGTATGGATGTACAGCAAGGGAGTAGATTGGTTACCTCGGCTGGGAAAAGTCTAGGCGTGTCTACAAGAAGACAACGAAGAGCGACACGCGTTCAGCACAAAACTGGAGTATAAAAAGCCCTTCGTACATTGTCTCCCCCGCATTTGTAGTCGCACAACTCTTCGGCCTCTCCGTGGCGTTCGTACTCCAAGTCAACCTCGGTGGCGCACCAGCACTCGATCCCCCACTGGGTAGCCATAAAGGGTGCGTTCTTTTCCAAGCAGTAGTCGTAGCAGAACTGAAGAAACAAAAATCGAGGGGAAAACGAATACGGTTGCACTGGTTAACAGACTTACGTACTGTTCAATATTGGTTCAACCCTTCGGCTGAAACAAGTCGTGCACCATTCCGACTGGCGCCAAGCAGATAGCTGGCCGATGCGATGAGGAAAGGGAAAAAAAGAAAAGGCGAACGCGACAGAGCACACTAGCGGTACTTGATTAATTTCTTACCTCGGTGTCGACTTCCTCATCGACAAGCTTGTGCCCCAACACGCGGTCGCTCTGGTTGTCCACGAAGCATCCCAGGTGGGTGTAGTCCCTGGTTGGTTGGTGCACGCACGTGGAGCAGCGGGAGGGGGGGGTACATCAGACAAACTTTGGATCTACTCCGGGGAATAGTCTATGCTAACCCTAACCCTAACCCTACTCCGGGGAATAGTCTATCATATGTACTTCAACGTACAACCAACGGCAGGATATATTCGAAACGTCAACACCAATATACCCGTTTGGCACAGAAAAAGAAGGCAAATAGTACCTTCTCTCGGACTACACGTTCTCTACGCAAAATTGCTGCACTCAGTAGACACTCGAAAAAAAGGAGGGAATGACACCAACATCCACATGTTCTGTCGAGGGATCGATCGGCTATTTATGAAATGCAGAATGCAGAAGCAAAGAAGGTTCCAGTCAGCATGAGCCCACAAGCCACAAGCGGAACGGAAGAGTGCATGTATGCATATGAGCCAACTCACGACACACGAGACCGAGCGTGCAAGACAAAATCCATCCCTGGGAGTGGCTCTACAAAAATGGGTACAGTACCGTCATCGAACTACCGAACCAACTCACCGGTTGGAATCAGTAGCAAAGGAAGCGCTATCAAGGGAGCGAAGATGGCGAGATTGGACGCCGGTCTGGTAGGACGCCAGGAGCCAAGCGGCGGCGATGACCGCAGGGGTGGAGTTGAACCTCATTCCAGCCATTGCTTCGTGTAGTAGAAGACGCTGTTCCTGAAGGCGCAAGAAGGAGGTCGGCGAGAGGGCAGGAGCAACAGCGGTTTTGCGTCATGTTCCCTTCGTACGTCTGTCTCGGAATGCCGCGTGTTCCATAAACGAGAGTGCGTTGACTACGACAGTAAGTTGGAATACTGCTGCGCATGGTTGTGTTTGTGTTGCAAGCGGCTACCCCCGGGCACGTGCGAGAGGAAAGGAAAGTCTGTGATGCCTGCCGTCAGAAAAGTGGACACAACTCGCTTCCCCAACGACGCTTTGCGTTTGTGGGTGTAACGGCAGAATATGTGCATGCACGCGTTGTAGGCACACGCTGCCACCTCTCCACGGCTAGTGCAATCATCATCAAAGCTTGCGTTTATGGGTGTACGGCAGAATATGTGCATGCACGCGTCGTAGGCACACGCTGCCACCTCTCCACGGCTATTGCAATCATCACCAAAGCTTGGAAAGAGCGACCGCGCCATGATCCAAGCTGGGATAAAGAGATACGTACATAGATAGGGAGCACGCTTGGCAAGTGGGCGAATGGATACAGAAAAAAAAATCGGAACGCGTGTCGGAACCAAAAATAATCTGAAAAACTCGACAGCCCGGTTGCGGCTGACGTACTCTGTATATCCAAGGCAACACCAACGGTGGTGCTGCTGGAATAACACAACAGACGACGAGCAACTAATTGTGGAGGGAAGATGCAGTAGGATGGAAGATGCAATGGACGTGTGTGTGTGTGTGTGCTGTGGCGGCGGGATGGATCTGCTTGCATCGGTGTTCGGCGAGAGGTGCTGGAGGCACGACGGGAGAGAGGACGAACTTTGCGAGAGGGCCAGGAACATTGAACAGTTTTGACAACCGACAACAGCAGCAGCAGCAGTGTTACTACGTGCAAACCGGTGTCCCCAGGGAGAGACGACGGAACGCATGAGAATGCAGAGACTACAACAACAGAGACCGCAATGTATCTCTAGCAGCGCGTGGTGACCTGCATACAAAGGGCGGACATGATGGTTGATACTGCTGCTGTATGCACCCGTCAATGACTCACCGCACAAGTTAAGAATAAAATACAAAAATCTATCTCTCATGGCTGACAGCTCTGCCGCGCGCACACACGCGGCGCACAGCGCACACGACCGGCACACTGCTGGGGCTGCAGCAGTGCACACTGAGACGCGAATAAGCATAAACAACTGCCACGGTCGCAGATTGTGCACGATCTTCCAGTACTATCCTTTTGCCTATTTTGGCGGTCCAAAACCCACCCACCTCAAAATCAGCATCGAGGAACAGGCGTGAGACGTACAGCTCAAAAGGATATCACAGCACTGCTGAAGATGTACATTACTACCGCTCCTGCCACATAGCCTACTTGTGAGCGTGCGCGAGACTGACTTGTTGCTGAAGCGAGGGCGTCGATGCTGATGGAGTGGTAGAGGAAGCTGAGTGAGTGGTGTGTGGTTGTGGTGTGTGGAGGGTGGGTGAGAGGAGAAGGCGGAAGGGCTGGCAAGCTGAGCAACCAACAACGTAGTTGAGGACCGCTAATAACAGCTGTTGAGCCAAGTATTTCGTAGTTTTACCGTACAGAAGTCAGTGTTCGTTGGATTCCAGATTTCCCTGGATTCCAGATTTCCCTGAGAAATCGCCACAAAAAATAATTATTCGGATCGGAACGGAGATTTCATCCATCCGTAATAACCCTCCGTCAAGGCCAGTGACAGTTCTGTCGATAGATGCGACGGAACACGGACGACGCGGTAGATTTTGTAATATTGTACGGCAGCAGAGCATGCCGTACCTCCATCACCATCTGCATGGTGCCTGACGCCTGATGCCATGGCGCCTGTACATCGTCTATAGCAGTTGTTGGTTCTGTCTCTCGGTGCCGCTGGTGACTCGCAAAAAATCTCTACAGTATCATCTGTTGTCGGCGATGAGTTTTTTTTGCGTGATGAGCGACACGACCGAGTGCGATTCCGACGGGTTGATGGCTCTGCTCGGATATCCATGACAACATGGTTGACACAAAAAATGCCTGAAAAGCGTCAAAGCGTCCGTTGATGCGAATGATGATGGGGGTAAACACGCACCAGACAAACAACAACAATGCAGAGGATTGATTCCACAGAAGAAGCACACCCTCTGGAGGCAGTGCAATTAGAACTCCGTACAGTATATCGTTCAGACTCCCTACTGTTGCTGCTGTGAATACATGTCATGGTATTTGACCCTTCCTTGCGGACAAACATACACAGTACCATCTGAAAGGGTATATATTTTTGTGGGAGTATCCTGACCACCTGCCGAGATTCCCGGTATTGCTATATTAGGCAGGTTGAGGTATGTACAAACAAACGTGAGCGATAGCGGGCGACTGAGAGAGAAGCAAGCAAAAGGAGGAATCGGACTGAATGAAGCGGAGAGAGGCTCGACCTTGCACACAACAAGTGGTCGGACAATAGTATGCATGAAGTACATAGTGTTTCTATCTCCAGGCCTCGGACAAGCCCGCCATTTCAGGGGCATTCTCAGTCCTGGTCTGCTGGTACGGGTCTCCACAAAGCCGGTCCGAAGTCCGAAGCAAGACCGCCGGAATATGCATTATGATGTACATAAAAAAAAAAAATGATGAATATCTACATGTTAGGTCGGAGAGATGGCACCGGGTGCGATCGTTTTATTAAATGTTTTTCCCTCGGGTTTCTTATCGCACCCCCGTACCATATCTATCTCCGATCGGCGTCATCTCTCCGGCTGGTGTCATCTCTCCGACCGGTGCCATCTCTCCGACCCCGGTGCAGAAATGCAATTACAGTATATCGTTTAGTTTTTTCATCAAGGCACCCCGGTGCGATCTCTCCGACTGGTGCGATCCCCGACTGTTGTTGTATGTACGCACCCCGGTACCATCTCCCCGACCGGTACCATACATCATCATACGATATCAGTTCAACCACACGTGAAGGTGCCGTTGTTGCTGGTTGGAAGCACACCGGTAACGGCAACGCAGGCTGGTACGTGACAGCTTTCCGTGCAGCGAGTGGTCTTGTGTTTGGTGCGAGTTCGGCTATATGGCGTGACGACAACAAACGGTGTCGTTTCCACCTGAGGTACTGTGTGTACGGTATCAGCTCTCTCCCGCTTTCGTTTCGGTCTTCCTTAAGGAATACCAGTATACGTATGTACACGTAGCAGTACAAATAGAGTCGTGTGTGTACGGTTGGTAGAGAACACACATTGACATGCATGTGTGCGCATTGAGACGTTAGCGGGCAGGGGGGGCGTATTCATCAGTACGCCCCCATTAGTGCACCCTATCGAGGCAACTGCACTGTCACTGCAGTCACTGCAGCGATTCCTTCAGCTGTAGCTACGAAGTAGCTGGCATGTGATGCGAGGTTAGGTAGGCAAACACACAAGTGATATTATTATCCACACAGACGCCCAAGCTGTCTTCACCTGACGGTTACAGACTTGGCAACGCCTTAACAATACCGCATAAACTCATGCAGTAGAATAATTGAGTCGCTCTTGTACCGCAATTACTCCAACACCCCCTCGTTGAGGGGGGCGTGCAACCCAACAATAGGTTAGGGGCTTTGGGGTAAAAACGTGCTTTCCAATAAAAAGGTGCACGAAGGATGTGAAGGCTTCACAGCCGAAAAGGAGGGCCGGCGAATTCGTCCTTGTATGGGCCTTCTTTGTCGAAGAATGTACGGAGAATAGTCTCGGGCATCTAGGGAGATTGTAGGGAGAGGGGGGAGGGGGGGGGGGAGGAAACACTAACTGCTTGGTGCAGCAGTGCGAGGAAAACTCCAGTGGCAAAGGGGGGAGAGGCCGGGAAGTCTTCGCCTAGCAACAACGGGTCCAGCACGGCGCACAGGAAAGAGGGGTGGGGCAACTCGCCGGGCCTGAGTTGTTGACATTTGGCTGGGCAGGGTCTAGAGGGCACGATGGAGGGGGGTTGCTCATAGTTCCCATGCCTCAGGTTCTCGAGAGGACGGAGCAGCATTGTTCCAACCGGACCTTTCACCGATGGTCAGTCGTCGCTTGGGGGAGGGCGTTCCTCATGTAAACGCATACCATACAAGGGAGGGTGAACCAGAACCTGGTGGTTATCCTGGCATAAACTGTGCCACACCAGATATATACGCGACGGGTTGACTACTGTAGGCATCCCGGCAAACCAAGCGTTTCACATTTGACAGGCACACGACTTTACACCGCGGCGGGGGGTACTCATAGGCGTGCATGCCGTAGTCGTTTGACGATTGACCCGCACGGAGGGGGGGGGAGGGGGGGGGGGTACTCTTATGTTTTACATGCCTTTGCGGTTAGACCATTGACGACGCGTCGTCGAGAGGACGGAGCATTGTTCCCACAGGACCATCACCGATGGCCAATTGTGCCTTCCTACTTTGCCAAAGGTGGCTCAAGAATGTCTTCCCTAGTCTATCTATCCTAACGACATATCTTCCCGCCTTTTCAAACCACTTCCTATTCCCCAGTACACCTACCGTCTTTTCCTCTCTATATTCCATGCCTCAAACATCTCCTTGTACCTCCCGTGTATTTTTCCCAGCTCAGTCATGTACACTTCCCTATCCTTTTCGTACAACTGACATTCCGAGACCACATGAACACGGTCTTCGCACTCGAAGCCGCAATCACATTTGAACTTGTCGTCTTCGTCATCTATCGTCCTATGTCTCCGTCGACGTTCTCGAAGGCCTATGACCCCGGTCCTGAATTTCACCTTAAGCTTTGTCCCTGCATCCATTGGTCCATGTAGGTAATCCTTCGACCCTATTCCTTCAACATTCCGTACACTTCTAGACCCTCCTTATAGGAAGGTTTGTTCGAAGAGCAGATAGAACAAACTGGTGCTTATTTTGTAACGGTCGAATTAGAATTTGGCTTCATTTTCTATCGGAAACCCAGGGTCACGGTGTTTGGATTTATCATTGTAATCTATA